GGCAAACATAAGTGACTTAAAAAATTATAGGCATGAACCTGGGATCACACACAACACACCAAAAATCTTTCCCAAATACAGGAAAAAAAAACAAAAAGTTTTGTTTTGAAGCAAGAAGCGAATCTGTTGTTTCGGAATTACAACAACTCATGAGTTCTCAAGAGGCTCTGCTGTTAGAGTTTTTGAAACAACATGAATTACGTAGTATTAGTTGCTGCCGAGACAATTATGGGGTGGTGACCGTATATATATATATATAGTCATATATATATAGGCTAACAGAGTTGCCCGGTAAATCGTAGGCAACGAGGGAGAAGAGGACAACAAACGAGGGGCTGTGGCAAACTGTTTCGTCGGAGTTTCATCGACTCATCAGGAGGTTGAACGAGGCAACACTCTGCAAAATCCCCTAACTGATTACATTATACGTGATAATCCACCTTAACCCCGGATGTGGTTAAGCATCAACGACTGCCCGACAACTTATACCCTGAGGTGGGCACCAACCACTGCCCTCAAGGTACCTGTGGCAAAGGTCAAAGTAGACTATCAATCACCCACACCAGATGAAAAACTCTACAACCTCGAGGTCAACCTTTTCTCACGGGCGGCCAAGCTGTGCAAGGAGCAAGGACGATGAGAACAAAAGAAAAAAAAAATAGCAAACATAAAAAAAAAGGTAATTGGGAAGGTAATTGGGAAAAAAAAAAAAAATGTTATGAAGAAAAAATAAGGTAATTGTGATATTCTATATGGCGGGTGCTGAACCCGTTCAGGTTCGGAACCCGGACGGGACCCCGAACAACCAAATGGCGAAAAAAAATATATATATATATATCCTAACCCTTAAGCAGCATTGGCCGCGGGGGGAGGTCGATGGTCCGCTCCGCCCCGGACTTGGGGGTGAAGTTTTGTTGCGGGCCGACAGATGGAGGCGATCGAGGGCGGGGGAGCGGGCAGAGAGGCGCGCGTACCGAAATATTCACAGCGTGCCATTAAACGAGTGAGCGCACCCACGATGCTGGGCAGCAGCGGACGTAGATGTGAGGGAATATCTTGAAGTCGCTGTCGTCGATAAGTGGTCGGCCTCTGTTTTTTTAGCATTTTCATTTTCGGCCTGTCGTTTCCCACTTTGTTCGTTTTTGCTTTTCTTTTTGTTTCATGGTCGGCATCCAACTTTTTTTTTTCCTCGCTTTTGTTTTTTCTTTTCTTTTTGTTTCCCGATGGCCGTGTCGTTTTGTCGTTTGTTTTTCTTTTTGTTTTTCATGGGCGTGTTGTTGCCCGACGGGCATGTGGTTTGGCATTGAGCGGGAAAATGGGCATGTGGTTTGGCCTTGGACGGAAAAATGAAAAAAAGAAAAGTTCGAGGACCCGCCCGCCTGCACTCACTCACTCACGCACACACACACGCTCGCCCGCCCACCCACCC